ACAAGGTCGTCTGGTTGACGGCAGTTTACCTCTGCGACATGGTCGATAACCGCTTGGAGGGCGGCCTCTTCAAATACCTTTTTGGACAAACGGGGTTCTGATTTCCATTCGCCCTTATCATTGAACGCCATAACCCATTCGCCATCAAGAACTGCCGGTTGGAAAATGTCTGGATGCCAAATTACATGGTGACCCCAATCGGACTCGKCGGTACTCCTGTGCGTCRTCMCGAAGAAATAGAGTTGACCTTTCTGCAACCTCAATGTGTGCGTCGGCGGAAGAGGACGTCCAGGCTTGACAGTGGGGCTCAGAGGTTTGCTTCTCATGGAGGAAAGAAATCCTCTTGAAGAACCCGAGGTTGGCATTACGACAGGAATGGCAACAGGAGTGATGACAGGCGAACTCGCAGCATGCTTGGAACTGGAAGGCATTGAAGAGGACGCCATTTATATTTCTGATATACCGTCTCTAAATCCAAAGGCTCCTCACCCTCGCTGACTTCTTCCTCGCTGTTTGCTTTGAAATTGTCCTCTTCGGTAAACTGAGCCTTGTAATAATTTAGTGTGAGTTCCACCTTGCCATTGTCGAAATAGCATTCCTCAAGTTTCTCCACGAAGTTGGCTGCAGCCTCTCTAGAAGCACCACGAAAGCCATCCAATGCACCAATCACGACATCTCGGCGACACTTGTAGTCGTCCTCGAATCTTAGTTTCAATCTTGTGTCGAGGAACAGAAACTTGTATACATTCGCCCTTTTCTCAGCTGACAGCTTGAGCCACATGTTCCTGTGTGGATCATGGTCGACCTCTTTCTGCACCTGGTAGAATTCACAGTTGTCCACACCCGTGTGCACCTCGTGCGCAACAAATGTCATCAAGAAGTTGAGGAGCTCTGTGTCTCCCTCGATGGCCATAACATGGCGCCCGCTCTTGAGGAGATGCCACACAACCTAGGCGTGTAACAGCCATTTCGTCAAAACGGACATATTATATTTTTTGAACGAAATCAAAACTGACTTTTTTTGCCAAAATCCGGTCGGAATTTTTTGCTCCTGGGGGTCCGACATTCCCAAAACGCCGGGCCCCCCTGGTCTATGGTTGAGACCAGATACTTTTTTTTTTTTTTTTTTTTTTTGTATCTGGTCTCAACCATAGAACAGGGGGGTCCGGCGTTTTGGGAACGCTGGACCCCCATGAGCAAAAAATTCCGACCGGATTTTGGCAAAAAAAGTCAGTTTTGATTTCGTTCAAAAAATATAATATGTCCGTTTTGACGAAATGGCTGTTGTGTGCTTTATCGATGAACATAACTTCATTCTCGACTGGGCAGAAGAACTCTATGTGACCCGATAACATACCCGGGTTGCGCTCCATTTCCTTATAGACGAACCCCTTCAGGTGGTGCACACCTGCCGATGCATACGTCGTGGTCGTGAACTGTATTTCGGCAATGTCTGAGGGTGTCACCTTTTGCCTTTTCCCAAGAGCTGCAGCGTCATCGTCCGGCAATCGTCCCTCATATGTCGGCGGGGTGTTAAGCTTCATATCATCCCCGTGGAAAAGAACATACATCCTGTCCTCGTCGCCCCACACATTGTTCCCGATTTGGTAGTGCTTCTTAACTTGACTCCTCCGAATCCATTTTCCTGCACAACCATTCGTGACAGGAAGAATGTGGAGAAGACCCATGAAGAAAAGGTCCCACTGTCTGGGAACAAAAGCAATTAAAGTCCAAAAATCAAGACACACAGCTTCAAGGAATGCCGCCAATGATCGGAAAGCCTCGTCATTCCAACGTGCTCGGTCGACGGGATCGCAGAAGTCAATGATGCAAGTGTGGCATCGCAGCTGCRTCACAACTTTCCTCATCTCATCTTTTCTTAGAAAAGYCRTGAAGGCGTCGTAAGCAAATGGTGTGAGGGTTGTCACTTGCTTGGTTTCCTTCCATTTGATGGTGGTGCATTCTCCCAGTGCTTGCGGCCCCTCTTCTGTCTTGCCACGTTCGCCTTTAAGCACGGACAGCACAACCCGCTTCCATTCAGTAGGAAACTTCTCGTGATTAACCAACTTCATCGTTGCCACCACGTCCTTATCACTCGGACAGTCGAGATACTGGGGGCATTCCTTGAGGTACGAGTGATCTGTGATCCATTTCCTGCAGCCCGCCCACAATTTCTCGTCCAGTCCCTTGGAGGCGTACTCTGCCATCAATTGCTCCTTCGTCCGGAAAAAGGAGGCACTCCAATCATCGTTGTCGCGACCCTCGTGCTGGAATTGCACAATATGCCACAGCTGGAGCAACATCCGATCTTGCTTGACCATTTCACAAGCATCTTTCATCCCAACCTTTCCTTGCTCAATCAGCTTCTTGCTTCCTTGCTGCACCCAGACAATATCCAGGTCCAGCAACCCTCGCAGGATCCGACGTTTCTCCGCGTCTGTAAAATCCCCCAAGTCTTTCCAAAAATGCACGTCGGGTTCACTCACCTGGACGAAAAAGTCGCGCTCCTCCTGTTTCCTTTTCTTCTTGCCTTTCCGCATCTCCAGATCAGTCACACGCACATTATACACAACTCTCTTATGGCCACTGCTGTCCTCCGCAAATGACTGACCCTCACGGGTGACTTTCAGGTCCGTTGTTGGAGGCCTCTTCGTCCACATAGCGCCATCAGAGGCGAGCAGATGGCCCTTCTGCCACTCGTCGTAGAATTTCATGCCAAGCATCCACGTTTCATCGTCCATCATCACCAGAGGTAAGTAGTACCTCAGTCTCTCCGTCCATTCCTTTTTCTTCGATTTCTCATCAGCCAACCCCCAAAGGTTGAAGTAAGGCGTTTTCCTCAAGGCGGTTTTCTGAAACTCTTCATATTTACTGACCAAATCCTTCTTGAACTTTATATTGCCGGTGACAGCACGAGGACGCTTCAAGTTATTCCACACCTGACGAATGTCTATCATTGACAGTCGTTGAGCCCGAGGAGGGGCTAACTTGTCCTTCCTATTCTCGTTCACGCTTATCTGCGTATAACCATCAAAGTCCTCGTCGGCGAAGTACAAAGGCTTGAATGGCCAGTCGTAGAAGGTATGCTTCTCCCAAATCTCGTGGTTTCTCAACTCCAGCGCAGCCTTGACATTGTGTTGCCCACTGACAGCATAGTACCAGTGTTCGTTCGGGTTCTCCACTTTGAATTTGTCTGGGGTCAGACGAACAGCCTTCCGTCCAGGGCTAGGAAGCCCTGCGATTGGCGTCAATTTCAAAATTGGCTTCTCGCACGTCTTTCCTTTCTTATTGAAGGCATCCATCATACACCGCAATATATATGCCGTGTGCGTTGGGTCGATCAAACGATGATTGTATGGCCTTTCCCACGCCGGCAACTCCAATACCCTCTCCGGGTTCATAGAAAGAGTGACATCTTTCTTTATACCCTCTTTCCATTCCAGAAAATACCCGGCGTCCAGATCGACAACCTTTTCCTTGTCGTCCTCACTTTCATTTTCATCTGCTCGTGCCCGCTTGCCTTTCGATGACCCTTCCCCCGATCCACCTCCCCGTCTCGCCTTCGGTGTTCCCGTGTTCTTTCCCGCCGATTTCCTCTTCTTGTCAGATATCTGGCGAGGGGTACTTGTTCTCCTTTTCTTGTGTGAAGATAAACGAGGGGTGTCTTCATCTCCAGCCCCCTCGGTGCCAGATTCTTCTCCACTTCTCTTTTCTCCCACCGCAACAGGTCTTTTACCTGTCTCCCCACCCCTTTGCTGCTCCGCAACCTCAGGATGTCCAACAGTAGTACTAACTCCAGTCGTCTTCGCCCTAGTCGACGGCTCATCCGTAGCACTTACTGGAGCCTCAGCCATGTCGGCGACCGCCCCCTCCTGGGGCGACGGCTCATTTATAGCACTTACTGGAGCCCGAGCCACCTCGGCGACCGCCCCCTCCGCATGTCTGCGTTCGACAGCTTCACCTTCCAGCTCGGATTCTTCATAAGCACCTGAGGGGTCTTGCTGCTCAGGAACGTAGTTAGGGTCAAGCCCTCCAGTCGCACCCTCCGTAGCAACATCAGTCGACAATTCTGAAGTTTGAGTGCGGTCCTCGTCATCGCCAACATACGCTATCGGCATCGAAATACGATGCTCCTGCGACACATCTAAACACCTGGCTGGCGGCACCAATCTCTCCCAGTCATCAAAGAAACTCCGCAAGAGAACACACGGTTCTAAATTTGATGTTATTGCCGTGTAAAACGGAAGCATGGTGGCTTGCTTGCCGAAACCTCGGAACTTTTTCCAAGCCAATCTGACACCTTGGGCGTCATGATCAGGATGACCGTTCTTCCCGTACGCCGTCTGAAGGGTGAATGTACGAATTCCCTCTGAACAATCTTCCCATCCGCTCACAGCCCCGACAAATCGAAAATTATTACGGTCTTTCACGAAGACGACTACACCGCAAGGTAGACTCGTCAGCAGAAACCCAATCAAGAAACCAGTGGCGGTTGTCATACTCGTAGTACAAAGGATTTCTCCTCGTCCCGCCGTTGTGCCTGCCACCAGAAGAACTGCGCCGACCGCGCTCCGCTACTGGACCACCGATAGAAGTCGAGGCAGGCCCACCACGATTTCCACTAGACTCAGGCAACTCTCCCTCGACAGCCGTTCTTGCGGAGTCAACTCATTTGCCAGCACTTGCGGATGCAATTTTATCTGCATTTGCCAAGCACGAAGAAGAACACGCTACTCAGCATGATAGTAAGCAGAACGACGTTGATTCGTCCTCAGCGTGTGAAGGGCACAGTCATCATCATCGAAGGCAGATATATCTGCTGTCGAAGATAGTCCATGCAGCGGATGCATCCGGTGTTCAGCTTTAGCATCGTAAAAGTCATGTGGCTACCTTCACACGCGCACGACAAGGGCAGAGTCCTCATCCTCAGCGGCGGATGAACACCGGATGTATCCGCTGCATGGACTATGACCTCATCCTCAGCGGCGGATGAACATCGGATGTATCCGCTGCATGGACTACGACCTCAAAGTCGTGCTGCTTCTACAGCGGATACATCCGCCGCTGAGGATAACGGATACATCCTCCGCGGCCCGTCGAACACATCCTCAGCGGTGGATGTATCCGCTGTAGAAGCAGCACGACTTTGAGGTCGTAGTCTATGCAGCAGATACATCCGGTGTTCATCCGCCGCTGAGGATGAGGTCGTAGTCCATGCGGCGGATACATCCGATGTTCATCCGCCGCTGAGAATGAGGACTCTGCCCTTGTCGTGCGCGTGTGAAGGTAGCCACATGACTTTTACGACGCTAAAGCTGAACACTGGATGTATCCGCTGCATGGACTACGACCTCGAAGTCGTGCTGCTTCTACAGCGAATACATCTGCCGCTGAGGATGTATTCGACGTGCAGCGGATACATCCGCCGCTGAGGATGAGGACTCTGCCCTTCTCGAGCGCACAACACTAGCACACTCATTTTGAGCAATGCCTAAGTCATGCTGCTTCCTCCAATAGCGGATACATCCGCCGCTGAGGACCAGGTCAGGGCAAGGTCGTGGTCCCCAGCAGCGGTGTGCGCGTGTGAAGGGCACGGTCATCATTCTCAAATAGTGGATACATCCGCACCACGTTCGACGGCCTAGAGAGCGGATAAAACCTCAGCGACGGCCTCGATAGCGGATACATCCGCCGCTCAGGATCATGATCCATGCGGCGGACACATCCGTACCACAAATGAGGACGGAGAGCTCGAAATGTCATGTGCTATTTTGGTTGGGTAAGTCGCGATGCTTTCTACTCTAGCGCATACATCCACCGCTGCGGATCAAGGCCCTGCCCTGACGAGCGCTCAGTTCTTCGAGGTCGTCGTCAATTACGCGGATTCGGTGTCCACGCATGTGTGGCGGATATATCCGTTGCAGCTACTGAGCGGAAACGTACGTTTTTGTGTGGCGGATATATCCGATGTACACCAAGCGGGCGAAGACCTCCTGGAGGAGATGTCGGAGTACAAAACACAGAACCAACATGCTCAGTTATTTGGTGGCAGATATATCCGCCACACAGACGTGGACATCAAGCGCGGGTGTTAAACTTGATGGCGAACATGACATTCGACATCCTTGTCTGTGCGCCGGATATATCCACCATACAGCAAACGGACGGAAACCTCGAACAGTATGAACCCGCGTATATAACACAAGAACCACACCCATGCGCACCCACCATAGGGTAAGGGCAGATGTTTCCCGAGCAAGAGCTGACCTGAATTCTTTCCGTCGTGGGCTGTGTGGCGGATGTACCCGCCATAGGGTAAGGGTGGATGTTTCCCGAGCAAGAGCTAACCTCAAACCAGAGAAACAACACCCGCTTTGTACTCCGACATCTCCTCTTAGAGGTCTCCGCCCCCTTGGTGTACAGCGGATATATCCGCCACACAAACAAGTACGTCGATCCTCGGCTGTGTCTCGAAACATCATTGGCCAGGATCGACGTGCGTGTTTGTGTGGCGGATATATCCGCTGCACACCGAGCGGGCGGATACCTCTTAGAGGAGATGTCGGAGTA